AAAAAGGGAGAAGGGAAAAAAAAAAAAAAAAAAAAGAAAAGAAATCTCTGGCACTCCGAATGGAAAGGTTATTTGAGCCGTTTCTTCGTAATTTGCATTCCTCCGCTTCCTCTTGTTCTTTTTTTACTTTGTACTAAAAAGTTACTATGCTATCATTTATATTCTAGCATTAGTCGAAATACAAAACTTGAATTTTTAAAGTGTGAAAACACGGTATCCATTTTATTTTCATAATAAAATCTCGTGTCAAAGATTTACCCCTTATTCGAATAATTTAAATATTTTTAAATCGTTTGACAGTTTCGAGGAATTTAATTTCCTTTAATTCTTTTTCTTCAAAATATCCGATAAAACAGTTTATTATATAAAAACTCCATAAAAGTTTCCAATTTTTATACATCAATTGACAAATCAATTATATAATTTGATGAGTGAAAAACTTTCACGTAGATTAATAAACAAATAAATGATAATTCCATTCGAATTGAAGACAACACCCTAACCGTGATATTTTTCCTTTATTTTATTATTTATATTCGATGATGATGATGATGATGAGGTAAAATTCGTATGCAAAAAGATGAAAAGTTTTAAAATTCAGCACGATTCAGTCTGGACTCTAGCTCTGTTCTCATCGAATCTCTTCCTTTTTGGTATTACACGAATGGCAAGAGGAAAGTTCGCTGTTTTTAGGTTAGGTTTCTATACACCAGTTGGCCAGTACGTTCGACGAATGCGTGGGTGGACGTTTAGAGGCACCTCTACGCCCTATTTGTTACGGTTTCGTTGAACCGTTTCACACCGACCTGTTTCTTCCAATGAAATTTCTTTAGGACTTCCTCCTCTGGGGAGCATCTAGAGTGGAACACGAATTTTGCACCGGATTAACTGATCTTAGTAGGGGAGTAGGCGAGTAATTGTTGTTGATAATTACAAGGAGGAATATTGAAATAGGTTTTGCTTGTGTTAATTATTGGAACGTGAGATATAATTGGGATTCGTTTTCCCGAGGTAATAACCAGGTTATTAAAATTAATATTTGAATGAAAATAAGGGGAAGAATTTGGGTCGAGCAAAGGTTATTTGTTTAGAAATTTAATAACGAAGGGGGTAATAGCATGTTTCAATTGGGGCATAGATTCGAAATTAACCACACTTTTATCCCACATGTCTTCTGTATGTTAATCGTTCATTATATGGCGTATAGATCACGGTACTCGATATGCTCAATTATTTACATTATTAATCGTACGAGAATTATATTTCGTCGCAAATAATTTCAAAGAATCTTTTCATTTTTCGCAATGAAAATTCTCTATCAATATTCAATATCATTGTCGAATTTCATCAAATTGTCGAAACAAATTGTTCAATCACATTTCACGAAATTAAATTAAACGCGACGAGATTCCGTTTAAATATTTGGAAAAATAATCAAAGATGGTTGGTCGGGGATAGCAACGCGTTATGATCGAATCTAACTAGAACGAAATTCAACGAGCGCAGCGCGGATCGTGACTTAACAACAAATTCACGCGAGCCGAGGCGTAACTTGGTTAAGGTACCGTTACCTTCTGACAAGTACCATCGTCCTAAGACATTCCAATCGCGTAACAAATTTCGAATCGTGTTCCGGGGCAATGTTATACGCTCAACGCTCGATGTTTCGCCGCCTCTTCTTGCTCATTTCGCACTTTGCTATCGGTGTTTACGCGTGTAATTGGAGGCCACTGAAATGGTAATTTTGTCCAACGAACGATGTATCTGATAGTTTTAATTTATGCGTATTAAAATATTTTACATTTATATATATATACTGCCGCGTAATAGACGTGAAATAAAATGTTATTTTTGAGCCTTTTAATTTTTAAATAAAAATCTGAGTTACTGTTATTTCGAGTAGATTCGTTTAAAAATATTTGCAAATATTTAGGAATAATAATTAAATATTTTATTTCGATAAAACTTACCCTACGAGTTTTATTAACGATTAATTCAGAGAGAAAGAAAAGTCGAAATTCGAAGTTTTCACCACAGCTTTCTCGTTATAACAATTTTTCAACGTTCGTTAAACATTTTCCAATACGATGGATGCAGATATTTCACGGAGTCATGCAACTATGACCACACCCTGCGCGCTACCGTAATATGCAAGCTATTTATCAAGCCTAACCGTATCTCCGACTGTGCAGTTTCATAAATTCGTCGCTATGAGAACAAGACAAGAAAGCTGTCCAATATTCCAAGTATCTCGACGCAAGAAATTGACGAGATCGATTAGCTATTTATCCTGTTTTGGAATTGGAGCAACAAGAGGAAATGAATTATGAGAAACTGGATCACTTCTTTTTGAGAAAGAATTTTAAAATTAAAAGTGAAGAAGATCATTTCGAAAAATAATTGGAATTCGAAGATCAAAAAAATCTTTCTTTTTGGGAGAGAAATTTCACATTTTTAATATTTTCTTTTTTTGTAAATATAAATTCTATTAATTTCACGATTAATAAGAAATACTATCTTTCCATCCTTTGATAATTGAAAA